TCAAATAGCAGTCATACCTATTTCTGTAAACTATCTTGAATAGTTTTGATGTTGTGGTAATCCTTTACATATATATATAAAGCATTATTTCTCATTAGTCAATAACATACATGTGTATTCTCAAACACAAGTAAATCAGTACTTCCAGCACTTTCTTCTTTGAGAACACTTACTCATATATCTCACTTGCTTCCTGGGTATACCTTTGATTATATGTTTCATCACAGATCCAGACAGAGTGAAAGGTGGGTGTATGTTTAATCTTCCACTGTAGTTCAAGTGGCTTTACACCCTGGTTTTACACTAAATATTTGTATTATTGTCATTTGAGGTTTTCTCTTGTACAAAATAAGTCTTTCCCCTTTATTTTTTTATGTTTACGTTTTTTAAAATTATAGTTAATCTGCAAAGTTGTATTAGCTTCACATGTACAGTCGAGTGACATATATTCAATTATCTATTTTCAGATTATTTTCCATTATAGCTTGTTATGAGGCAGTGAATATAGTTCTCTGTGCTATACAGTAGGTAGTATATATATATATTAGAGGCTTCCAAGGTGGCACAGTGGTAAAGAATCCACCTGCCAATGCAGGAGATGCAGGAAACATGAGCTCGATCCCTGGGTTGGGAAGATCCCCCAGAGTAGAAAATAGTATTCTTGCCGTGAAAGATGCCATGGACAGAGTAGCCTGGCAGGCTACAGTCCACAAGGTCCCAAACAGTCAGCCATGACTGAGTGACTAAGCACACTCACACATGTATATGTTTATCTCAAGCTCCTAATTTGTTCCCTCCCTCATCCTCTCTGGTAGCCATAAGTTTATTTTCTATGACCGTGAGTCTGTTTCTGTTTTGTAAATAAGTTCATTTATATAATGTTTTAGACTCCACACATATGAATGATATCATATCACTTAGTATGATAATCTCTGGGTCCATCCATGTTGATGCAGATGGCAGTATTTCTTTTTTATGGTTGAGTAATATTCCATTGCATATATGTACCACATCTTCTTTAGCCATTCCTCTGTTGATGGATACTTAAATTGCTAAATCTTGCTCTTCAAAAGAACTGATTGATGACAATAAGAGAAACCACAGTCTGAGGTGCTTCAAAAGAAGAAAACCACATATTTAACCAGGTAAAGAAGATATCTGTTTCTCTAGCTTTTACAACAAAGCACCCACATATGTATTTAGGGCTCTCATTTTTCAGGTCAGCATGTTTTCATGGAGAAGTGTTTAAATATAGTGGAGAGAGAGGCAGTTAACTTCTGCTTCTGTCAGAAGTGTCAGGTACCAGGTACCCTCGAAGGCCTAGAGGACGACACAGTGAACAAGATATACAAGTTCTGCTCTCAAAGTGCGTAATCTAGTAAAGTAAGACAGACAATAAAGATGTAAGCAAATGATGAAGATTTCAAGAACAAGGAAGTATGATGGTTAGCAGAGAATTTGAGAATAGGAGGAAGGTGGAATGGAAAGAGCTTGGTACTGGACTAGGTAAGGGAGGGGATGGTATGGTGGACAACTCCCAGGTCTCTGACTTGAGCACATGGATAGAAGGGATGCTGTTAATTTAGATAGTAAAGAGTGCAGGAGTAGCAATCTGGGGACAGGAAGGAATCAAAGATTCAGTTTTGAACATGGTACATTTGAGATGCCTGCAAAATAGCCAAGGAAAAGAAAAACCTTGAGTGTGTTTGCAAGATGAGTCTGGAAAGGAGGTCAGGGCCGAGTCGTGACAGTGGGAGTCATTGGCCTGTGGGTGATACCTGAAGCCATGGAAGTGGATGAGATCACTCGGACGAGGATTGTGAAGGAGAAACATGTGGTCCAGGACTTAGCTGTGAGATACACCAGACATTCCATCGATCTAGTGGAGGATGTAGCACTGACAGACACGCCTGAGCAGGAATGGCTAAAGGCGGTTAATTTGCAATAAAAAAAAAAGCAATCATATTTCATGATCACAGACCAACAATCCTGGCCAGCAACTCTCAGCCACAACTCCCAGCTGGCTCTGAAAAGGCCTTCACTAATGGAAAGAAATGTACTGCATGCATGTCTTCCCCACGGAGCAGGGAGCAGCAACTTCATCCTCATTTTCAATGATGACTGTACTGGATATAATCCAGAGGATAAAATGCAAGTGTGAAGCTGCTGCTGTATTTCTGGAGCAGGGTTTGAAGTTCCTCTGAAACGAATGTGAAAGCCTCAGAGATCAACTTCTCTGTCCTGGTTCAGGTTTGGTTCTCAGTAAATGAGGAACGATCTTGCCTCATGGGCAACAGCCTTTCTTTTGCAAGAAGTTAAATGTGCTACACCAGAGAGTTATTATTGTCTTTTTTTTGCAATTAAATGGGACATTTAGATTTAATTTTAAAAAGTAACCTATAAGAGGTAGAAACTTGCAAGTCCAGCCTTGGAAAGAGGAGCACAGAGGAGTCTTTAGAACTCTCTGTCTGGTTTCAGTTATTTCATAATGTACTGTGTTGCCATTTCATAGGCATTGCAGTAAATTCCTGATGGGATGTTTGTAGACCGTGCCACATTCTAACCAATTAACAGAATAACCTTTCAAATTTATATAAAATAAATTGCTGAAATCCTAATTAGTTGCTGTGTACCTGAAAACTTGGGAGTATCCCTTCTTATTTAGTGTATGAGCTTCTCTGGTAACTCAGACAGTAAAGAATCTGCCTGCAATGCAGGAGACCCAGATTTGATTCCTGGGTCAGGAAGATCCCCTGGAGAAGGGAATGGCAATCTATTCCAGTATTCTTGCAAATAGAATCCCATGGATAGAGGAGCCTGGCAGGCCTCAGTCATGGGGTCACAAAGAGAAACAGAATAACCTTTCAACTTTATATAAAATAAATTCCTGAAATCCTAGTGTGTCTGAAAATTTGGGGGTATCCCTTCCTATATAAATCAGGTTTATTATTTGTAGAGGTCTGTGTCTTAAGTTCAGTCATGGGAGATAGTCCCTAGTCTTATTAATTTGATGATACTAACTACATGAATGAACTACATTCATTTTGACATAAATTCTTTAGTGTGAGGCCATGCACTCTTGCAAAGCATTGAAAAGTAGAAATAAGTAATGAACTACTACTTAAATGATCAAAGTATTAAAAAGCCTGAAAACTTCCAACAGGTTGGCTATTTCTCGTTGCTTTTTAACTTTCCATTTCTTTCTCAAAATCTATTTCAGTTCTTCTGCAGTTTCAGTTCATGTTTCACAGGTTTAACTGTCAACGTTTGTGAGAGGACCATCTCTAGTTCAATCAAGATGTTCTTTCAGGGTGTATGGCCATTTAAAGTTCTGAATGACATCCTGGTAATTAGGTAATTCACAGCTATTTGTACTGTATACCATGAGCTACTTTGGCCCTGATTTCAAATCTGACATGGCAGTTCCACATCGAGGAGGTTACTTTCTTACAGCCCTTCCCAGCCTGGATTTGGGAGCGGCTACCTTTTTGTTTTCTAATGTTGCTAACATGTTCAAGCTAGAAATAATTTCCTAATTATTTCTAATAATATCACTGATGCCCTGACTCATTCCTGCATATCTGTATTTTTAAGCTTTTCATCTTTCATTACTGAGTGATTGCTTTCCAACACTCAGGCACCTAGGAGAAGAGGGAGGAAGCGTGGTTTAGCAGAACAGCATGCACCAAGTGGGGGAGAATCTTGGAGAGGAGAAAAACTAAACTTGGTTTGGGTAATAAACATTTATTGAGCATATTCACTGACTGGCTATAAATAGAGAACATCACAGTGTCTTATTAATACTTAATACATGCAACTCTAATTGTATCTTTAATCTCTGTCCAGTTAAGTTGTGATAATTCCAGAAGTGAACTCTAAGGATCTGCCTTTTCAAAGTGTGTTCTTCATGTGGCACATTTCATTAGCTCATACAGAAGGGTTATTTTCTCAAATCATATAAAAATTTAAAGGGCACAGTGGCCATTCATTAGATATAGCAAGTGACAATGAGTTCTCCAAAGAATTATTTCTTTCCAACACTCCGCTCTGGAGAGTTGACACTCAGTGTGGTTAGGATGATCAAACTGGTAGGTGCTGACCAGTGGCTCAGGAAATTTTACTTTTTGCAAATTTTGGGCTACAGAGCAAGGTTTTCCTTTTGATTAGCTTCCAAATCGAATTTGTCAATTTACTCAGTATCCTGGCTCTGTCACTTTTTTCCTTTTACATTTAAATGTATTTCTTTAAATTGTTCTCAATTACTGTTGCTCAGAGAACAATTACGGAGTTGACTTTATATTCCTTATGTGATTCTTATAAAATTTAAACTAGGGAAAAATTGCATAAAAACTTACTCCTCGTGAGACATACTGTCTTTATAATCAGAGCCCTTTAACTTCTTTTTTTTTTTAGTTTTAGCTTATTAAAAATTTTATTGGAGTATAGTTGATTGACAGCATTGTATTAGTTTCTGGTGTATAGCAAAGTGATTCAGTTATACATACACATATATTAATTCTTTTCCAGATGTTTTCCCTGTATGGATTATTACAGAATATTGAGTAGGGGTCCCCATGCTAGGGTGTTTGGTGTGTAAGTCCTGAATTATCTACTTTATATATAGTAATGTGTGTATGATAATCCGAAGTTGCTTACTTATCCTTCTCCCACCCTCCTCTCCCAGAGCCCTTTAACTTCTAAACGAAGTATTGGCTTATAAAGCAGAAGGTACGAATAAAACACTTGAATTGCCAAGAAAAACCTTCAAGATTATGCATAGCCACCCATTAATTTCACCAGTGAGAACCTAATTCTGCCCCCCAAATGTAGGAGAATTATTTTGGTTCCTTTCTGAACCAAAAGCTAACGTTAGTAGGTGGGAGGCAGACCATAGAGTGCGAGCATCAGAAGGAAAATACTCCACCAGCTAAAATTTTTAATTTGCTCCTCTCGCTGATCTTTACTGAATTTTTATCTCCCCCCTCCTCCTTTGTTTTCAGTGGCTACAGATGTCTTTAATTCCAAAAACCTGGCCGTTCAGGCACAAAAGAAGATCTTGGGCAAAATGGCGTCCAAGTCGATCGCAACCACCCTCATCGACGACACAAGCAGTGAAGTGCTGGATGAGCTGTACAGGGTGACCAAGGAGTACACCCAGAACAAGAAGGAGGCAGAGAAGATCATCAAAAACCTCATCAAAACCGTCATCAAGCTGGCCATCCTTTACAGGAATAACCAGTTCAACCAAGACGAGCTGGCGCTGATGGAGAAGTTTAAGAAGAAAGTTCACCAGCTTGCGATGACGGTGGTCAGCTTCCACCAGGTGGACTTCACCTTTGACCGGAACGTGCTGTCCAAGCTGTTGAACGAGTGCAGAGAGATGCTGCACCAGATCATCCAGCGCCACCTCACCGCCAAGTCACACGGACGGGTTAACAACGTCTTTGATCACTTCTCAGATTGTGATTTCTTGGCGGCCTTGTATAATCCCTTTGGAAATTTCAAACCCCACTTACAGAAACTGTGTGATGGTATCAACAAAATGTTGGATGAAGAGAACATATGAGCATGTGAGTTGAGATTGTGACTGCTCATGATTTATTTGAAGACGGAGCTCTGCTGATTTATGAAGGAAAAAACAAGAAGAATGTTTTAAAAGATTACACATATTTCAGAAAGACTTTGCCCAATTCAGTTGTCAGACATTCATGGTAATGTTTTATGAGGCTTGTTTTATTTGAAGAAAAATGTATTGGCAAATATTCTGGTTAAAAACTTCTCAACAGTTAACAGATCATGGGAAAGATGTATGGTTGCATGATGCAAATACAGTTATATAAAGAAAGATACGTGTGGCTCCAAACCTCAAAGACATCTTTTTTTTAGGGCAGTTGTGTTGGTGGCATATTGGATATTTCTAACGTGTACAGAGTTGTGTATTTTGGTTCACCTTTATTCCTTACTATATATGTGTACCTCTTTTAAAAAGCCAAGAACCCCCTCTTACTGTCATTTCTCCTTTTGAAGCAATTCCATTTTCAAGTTTACCTTTTGTTAAAGATTCTTTTGTTAAGGACTTTCTCACTGACATTCAAAAGTTCCATCTTAATTAAGACATTCCGGTATTAAGACAGTCAAACCCTCAGAAAAATAGAAAACTGCTTCTCTGAAATCAGTATTCTAGAAATCAGTTGTATTTGACATGATGAATAATTTAGTCTAACATAATACTATGCTTCTGGAATCAAGTCCTGTTTCTTAGTAGCAACAGTAATACTTCCTCAAACATGAAAATTCCCCCAAATGACATGCCATTTGCCTTGAAATGCTTGCTGAGGGCTTAACTTGTATGTCATCTTTAAAATGTGCTGATGGAATCTCCATTTTTCATGTCTGTTTTAAATGTAAGAAACAAAGAGAAAATCTAGATCATTCCTGATATTGGGACTATAAAAAGTAAATGCTTTTAAGAATGATAAAACAATCTGTACTTTAGTGGTGAGCCCATCAGAATAATTTAATTTAGGAGGAGGAGAGGCAGAAGGGAAGAACGAATCTTGCTACAAGAACATGAGAATGAATGCATTTCAATGTTTAGTAAGGTTTGATAGGTAAATAAAGTGTTACTTTTTTATTTAACTGATAAGATTTTGCTGTTTTGTTATTTGCTGTTTTGATGAGTAAACCAAAGAATATTTGCATTCCAAGCTGTTTGTCTGTTGTTTATATATAATTTTATATGTATGAATGATAAATAAGCATTTGCTTATTTTGTGAAAAAGAAATAGAAACCTGCTGGCTAACTCTATCTCCTAGGAAATAACAGACGTGGTCACCAGCACTAAATATTTGCATTGTCACTATGTCTGTGATTTAGTGTACTCCTTTGCCTTGAATTTGCCTTCCTCCCAGAATATTTATGTTAAAATAATAGCTTACCAGCAAAGGTCCTACAACTAAAATTTACTACAGGCTAAAGGAGATGGTAGCTTTCTCTGGGACCCTCACGTGCTTGTCTGAGTCAAACAGCAGAGGAAAAGCATCTCTCCCTATTTGATATTAAATCCTGACACCAAAATTTGAACTGAAATTACCATCCTCCCTTCCCTGGGCCAGTAGGTGACCACTGTAAGTTATAGCAATAGCATAGTGATTGCAGAATTGGTCCCTCTAGCTTCAGAGACTGCTAAGTAGCTTATAAATTTAGTTTAGCAGCCTTTCTTGACCAACTCTGGGAAAACCAAGAGTGTGTTATGTGGAAGCTACTGACCTAGCGCAGTCTGTGTTCTACAGGATTCCCTCAGCAGAGGAAGTGTGGAAAATGGAGTACCCAGGCAGTTGGCTGATGCCCCTTGCTCATCTCTAGCTATAAACAGGACCAACCAGAGAGAGAGAACACCTAGGAGTAAATTTAGATGAGTCTGGACACCTTGGGATCATAAACTTGTACCTTCAGGATGGCAGTCAGATGCGCACGGGGCAGGGGAAGAGCAGCCCTGAATTTCACACAGAAGGAAGGCAGTGAGGAGTATCTTGAAGCAGGGGAACCTGTTTGCTCCCCTATTTCAGCATCATCTTCTCCTTCATCCTGTGCCTGGAAGGCATGACTCAGAAGGATCAGTTGTCAGTTTTCATCAGCAAGTTCATTTCTGATGCAACAGCACTCCCTTTGTGCATGAGTTTATTTGAGGTGGAAAGCTGGAAAGAATGCGGATATGCTTAGGATAGATAATTCTGAGCCAAGTTCATAATCATTTTAGGGTCTTATGAAAAACTGAATCTTTTTTATTACATTTTGGAAAAAAATCATGAATTGTATTATAATTGATTTTTTAAAAATTTCTCTGCAAACTTTATGAGCTGATTTATTAGGTGAGTGATAATGCTACTGTTAACAACTGACATTACAGAGTAGATATTACGTGCCAGGCATAGTAACTCATTCAATGCCCACCACAACCTTCACTGTTCTACAGATGAGGAAACTAAGGCAAGAGACACTAAGGAATTTGCCTGAGGTCACATAGCTCTGGTGTCAAAACCAGTTTATATTAATAAAACCTTATTTTCATTTAATGATGATATAGGGAAAAAAAACAGCCCTAGAAACATCATTAGTCCAGAGAGGAGTGGGCAGTGTCCTTCTGAAATAGATTTTCACATAGTGGCGTTTTAGAAGGTATTTAAATCATACAGATCTGACCCATTCTGGGTATGGTTTTATGCAAAGAAGTCTTATGAAGTTTTCAACATGGCTCCTAATTTGGGGGCATTTCATGGTTCAAGTTTTTAGTCCCTTTCTGAAACTTAAAGGTGCTTCCAATTAACAATAACTTTGAACATTGACCCCTGAAGTATGGTATGCCTCTCCCCGCTGGTGGTCTTTCTGTGGATACACATGGCACTCTATGTGCACACAACTAAGGCAAGCAGAAGTTCACCACTATATTCCCCAGAAAAGGTATGGCATTGATTTAAAACTTCAACATTATTTTCCAGGTTGAGAGACTGGAAACATCAGAGCAAGTAAGCCTAAAAATAGCCTTGTGTTTTTCTGGTTACTGTATCTTTCATATAGAACTCAAAATTAGTGAAAAAGAAGACCAAATGTTAGGAACTTTAATGGCACAGAAATAATGCTTCTTTTTTTGTCTTATAAACCAGTTCTTGTTTAGATTTTTTTCTCCCACCACGTTACTGCTTAAAAAAAACCAGAAAATTTAAACTTTCTGGTGGATTCCTCCCCATTAAAGGACTAAAATCTCATTTTTTGTACTCTGTACATATCAATTGGATTCTTACTGAGCATTTTAATTTATCCTTGAGGTTCTTGATGAGAGCACCTAAGTTATAATTTAGCATACAGATAAAAAATGTAAGATGAATGTGCCCATCCATATGATGATACAGTTGCAGTAAAATGTTAAGAACTATTTAACTGCTAGGAAATTAAAATATCCTAAATTAGCATGTTAATAGTATTTATACTATTTTTACATTTTTATCCAATCTTGCATTTCCAAACTGGCATTATCTAAATTAGTTGAACTTTGCAGTGTTCAAAAAAATCTCTGTTTTACTTGATCTGTTGCATCTGTGGGCATAAACTTCTATATTATTTGTTCGGCTCAAAGCAGGTTTTAGTACTCAGTGTTGTTTATGACATACAATTTTATTCTAGCTCTGAAATAATTTTCCTTGCTGTGATTCAGTTTTAAGTCTTTATAGAAACCCCCTAATGAATCACTGAGTCACTAACCAGAAAAATGAGTTAACTTTTTGCTTCCAAAACAGGACAGTAGGAAGATATTTAGGAGCTTATAATCTCATATCACCATCATAGCAAACTATTGGAAATCCATTTTCTCTTTCACGAGGTGTCCTGCTGGTTATTGCATGTGCCCAGAGCCATAAAGACAGGTTTATCTCTGGGAATTTTCCCAAATGGGAACATTTTTGTATAATATTGATTCATGTCTGTCTAGCCAAAGATGTATTTTCCATCTAGCAAGAAACATCAGCCCCAAGTTATAGGGGTACAAGCTACTCCAAAGACATCCTGTCTGCTGAGCCCTGAAAAAGGATACAGACAAGTCAGCCAGCATTCACAGTTAAGAGAAAAACATCTGTGCCTCGGAAAATATTCTTAAGTACAGCACATTGTGCTCTGTGCCCACCAAATTTCCATGCAGTCTTTGTAAGGGTAGCCAGCCAGTGGGTAAGGTCTCTCATCTTCCTTCATGGGTGGCTGAGGAAATTCTTTGCCTTCCCCACCAACAACTGCATAACTGTATTTTTGCCTTGTGGAAATAATTGGCTGATCAGGCACTTGGGGTTTGTTCTTAACACAGGGAAAGAATATTTGATTTTTAAAAGTATGAGTTTTGATTTGCAGAATGATCCAAAACAATATACTTCTTTGTACTTTGGTTTTTCCATTTAAAAGCTTACAGATGCATGAAGTCATTTGAAACTGCCTGATGTGAAGTATAAACACAAGACAGAGAAGTGAAAACTCTGAGTTTACTTACCTAAATGGTCACCATTATCTGGGATGATTGACATTTTATAAGAAGCTCAGGTTTCATTTTCCTGGAAGTGGGCTTTTATCAGCCAGCTCTCACCCGTCCTAAGTGACTTGTTAGCTCTCTTCTAAGACCGCTTGTTTTCACTAAAGGGTAAATACTTGCCAAGCAAATTTGCAAATATTTATAAGACATCTAATGTCCTAGAAGAAGACTTGCTGATGATTAGATAAAAGGGCCAGCATTATTGCTGTTCCCCAATCATATGGACTTTGTGCTTTCATGACTGAAGAGGCACATTTTTAACTTGCTGAAATTGTCACTGAACAATGTGCAGTGAAATTCGTGAGTAGAAACGTACCATAGTATTTTCAGACATTATGTGTCTGAGCTTGGCATCTTTTCCTCCTGGGGACTCACTGTAGGGTGGCCAGGGGAGCCCAGCAGTGTCCAGAGGGCATGTCTGGAGCAGTTGAAACCAGTGTTCCCAGCTCCTTGTCTGACCAGGGAGCTCTCTTTCCTTATCTTTAAATTTTGGATG